GGAGTAATTATCTTCATCTTTCTGGCGATAATTATAGCAATCGTAGTTTCTGAATTAACTTAATGAAATTGAAGGTAAAATAATAATATGAAATTATCAAAGTGAGGGAATGAGAATTGAGAATTAGTTTTTTTAAGAGGGAGGAAAACYAGAATACCTGTAGATAACACAGAAGCACAGGAGAAAACCACCATTGAAGCAACTCTGTGTCATGGTGATGGGTTTGGTTGTTTTTTCCACACACTTTTTCTTTGTATAAACAGTTACAAACAGAATAAACCAGTTTTCAACCTTGTAGATCATTACAGTACCTACATTTGCATTGTGAAGATGCATACTAAATCCCTGCTTCAATCAAACCATGATGAGTAAGACATTAACGTCATTGTTGTTTTTTTTTTTTTGTTTTAGGTGCAAGCTTCTCACTTGTAAGGTTCGTATTCTCAAGCTCCATGGCCGTCTAACATAAATATGTAAATACTATTGGCTTATATATATTAGCCATTCACTTTTGAATCCACAAGGAAGATTTGATAACATGACAGGCCAAAATTACATAGAAAACATAACTAGAAATACATGGTAATCTGTCAATCATAGGTTATAGTATCAAATTTGCCTTTCTGAGGTTCAAAGTGAGGTTGGTAATGATCTTGTGGTTTATAGGCCTCTTCTACTGTAAGTTTAATCAACAAGATGTTTTAGCTTTGCTACAAATAATACAATCAATCAATAGGAAAAAATGTTTGCACTCAAGCTAAACCGCAATGCACTGTAAAGGCTATCCCACAAAAGGTCTCTAGGATTGAGGGACTGAATCAAAACTCATGCACTTTCTTGCATCCCCATATTCATGCAAATGAGAACCATGAGTATCCCATATATTAGGCTTTTTATACACCAAATCCAAATATGGYGACCAATTTGAATAACTTTTTTTTTGGACTGACTAGGCTCTCATACATGTGAAAATGCTTTATGTCCAAGTGAACATGAGGCTGGTCAGTCCAGAACAATAGATACTTAAATTGGTTACAATATTTTGATTTAGCGTATAGTAGATGTTAAGGTGCATTCTGGTTTTTCTTGAGTACAAAAGCGCTATGTATTATAAGTCCTACCCAAGCCAGACTAAAAGCAATATTGTTTCAGGCTTTCATACAAATATCAGTCAAAGAACACAAATCTACTGTCCCTACCCMGGACAGTCATTTTTTTAATTCAAAAAGTTTTAATAATTTACTAAAGTCAGTAAAATAAATTAATTGAACTTAATATCAAAAAAATTCATGCATATTAGAAGGAGATGTTCTACACTGTTATTTTTGCATTAAGAAATTGTCATTTAATAAAAAAATTATATCGTATTTTACTTATTGTAATAGAATTTATGACTGGAAAATCCTCTGTACCCCTCTCATGGAAAAGGACTGTTGGTGAAAGGGTGTTTTGCCCAGGCATCCCCCATTTTGTCACTGTTAGGCAGAAAACATCTGTGCAACAAAAATAAGTTTTATAAAGGATATGCAAATTGMAGCTTGTTTTAATGATAAACCTTTTCGGCTTGTGCATAATGTTTTCCCATTTTTCAGACTGTATGTTATTCTTTTGACAAAAATATTCTTCATTTGAGTTGCATCCATATTCATGTG